CACACATACCCATCTTTTCACATCCTTCACAAGTGCTCTCTTCATTTGCGTCTTTCCGTTCAACACCACCCGCTACCGATCCTCGCTTCCGCAATTCAGCCCCATATTCTCCGCATCGTAGTGTTATGCCCCATAATTCAGGTGTATTCCCTGGTGCTCCTGTACCATCATCCTATCCTGGGGCTCCCGCCCCTGGCCCACAACCGTTTATTGGACTAGACACGAAGCAATCCACCGTGCCACTCCCACCTTCTGTATCTATCCCCGTGGCTCCCCCTGCCACCCCTATGCAGAGAGGTGAGCTCCTTTCCTTGCTGAATGAGGGGCGGCAACATCCAAATACACCCCCCTTGGCACCATTTGGAGACCCCCAAGCCCGACGATCCCAACTTGGATTGGGCCCAGTAGCTCTTGGTCCGCCTGTGCCTGGCCTTGAATCCCTTGAATCTCCGTTTGTTGTGAAACCACCCCCTCCACTAAATCGACCGTTTCCTCCACCCTCCTACCAGCCGGCTTTCCCCAACCTCGACCGACACTGCCCGTGTCAAGCTCGCATCTGCTTTCTATTCTGAATCAGCCAGCTTCCTATCATTAAATCTGTTTTTCTTCTGGACCCGTTACTCTCCTCTGTTTCCCTTGTTCGTTTCTCCCACCCCTTGCTATCGTTGCTCAGTATCACCACGCACGTTGTATACGTACTCAATTCAACACTATTATGGCTTGACTGTTAGTAGTAATAGATATCTCTGGCGATCTCGCGTTCATGATTCGCGGATATGGGGTCCCAACCGTCGATAACCCCGTAATTTCATTGAGGCAATTCACCACGATCCAGCTTCCGGAACGACCCGCGTTATAGAACATGTCCACTTCTCTTTTTTAGCCTGCACATGGTTGTGCCCCTCTCCACCTAACATCCGCCCACTACCTATCTTATTCGAAATGCTTGGAGGAACGAGCATCAAGGTCTTCTCAGGTAGAGCTCCCACACCTCACCTTCAGGGTTGCACAATATTCACCTGTGTGCATTTTTTCATCGCTCAGGAACAAGCCATCCAGAAATTGCCGAGCTCATAGCAAACAGGTGCTTCGTGTGTGCCTCCCACATTTTGGGGAACCAGCGGGGGTCAAAGGGCCCCTAGACATGGCTCTGACAGCAGCTCTTGTCTTCGTTTGTCTTTCTCTCACTCAGGATTCGGACTCCCACTCTCAAAGGCGTACGTCACGCGAAATGGAGCGGGCGAAAGTTCTGTTCGCTTGGCCGAATCCGTACGGGACGCGGATGTCTACATCGTCAATACTGGATGCGGGCCGCCCGGTCTTTCCGTGAACGTTTCGCTGATGGAATTATGCATCATGATCCACGCTTGCAAGATTGCTAGTGCGAAGCGGATCACTGCTGTGATCCCTCTCTTCCCGTATGCTCGCCAGGACAAGAAGGACAAGAGTCGGGCGCCTATTACAGCCAAGTTGGTGGCCAATATGATCCAGAATAGTGGATGCGATCATGTCATCGTTAGTTTTAACCCTTACCCTCCCCCTCCCCCCGCCTTTTTTTCCTTTCTTGCCGATAGAATTGATCTCGCTAATTAACCCCTTACCGCTTTCTGCGTCAGACGATGGATCTACATGCATCTCAGATTCAAGGATTCTTTGATGTTCCTGTGGACAAGTGCGTTTGCGTTTGTTATTGGACGATTATCTTATCGTTCTGACGAATAATTCGTCCTCGACCCTCAGTGTGAGTTCGTGCCTGGAACCTAGTCCCTTTTTGTCCAGCGTTCGTTGCTCGCGATGGCTTGCTTACCGTGAATCCTTAGCTCTACGCTGAACCCTCCGCAATCCACTATATCCGACAAAACCTCTCGGTCCGTGACGTCATTATCGTCTCCCCCGACGCTGGCGGCGCAAAACGGTGAGTCCAGGGTCCTGGATCGAATAGGGTGATGTGTGCGTGACAACCGCTCTCCGCTTCCTTCTTGGGCTGGGTCCACAGTGCAACGTCGATGGCAGACCGACTGGGAGTCGACTTTGCACTGTTTCACAAAGAGCGAAAGAAGGCGAACGAGGTCTCGCGCATGGTGCTCGTCGGACACGTCAAGGATAAAATTGCGATCCTTGTGGACGACATGGCAGATACGTGTGGGACTATCTGTCTGGCGGCCCAGCACCTCTCGGAAGCGGGGCCGCCAAGGTGTACGCGATCGTTACGCACGGTATCCTCTCTGGGGATGCGCTGAAGAGGATCGAGGCGAGTGGCCTCGAGAAGCTTGTCGTCACTAACACGATCCCGCAGCGCGAGAATCAGAGGTTATGTAGCAAGATCGAGGTGATCGATATTGCGTCGGTGCTTGGGGAGGTTATACGCAGGAGTCACTATGGAGAAAGCGTATCTAAACTGTTCCATGAAGTACCATACTAGAGGCATGCACAAGTTTTTTTTTTTTTCCTACACAATATCGTGTTATGTTATATTGTGGCAAGGGTACCACTATCATGAATGCCTGCGCCAAGCTGTTGGCGGAATGAGTCCGCAGCCGATTCCGATCGCTCCCGGCTTACACAAGGACCCATGATAGGTTGAAATCCTGCACGCTCCCACAGGGAAAATTTTTGGATTTTTGACACCTACTGTATCTAGCACGGTTTCCCGGGAGTCTGGTGCGCCAAATATTTTGGACTTACCAAAGTATCTAGCGCGGAGTACACCGGGAATTTGCTCAGGTGGATCATGCGCTGCCCCTTCAATGCATAATACAGTGGGCGGACATTGGTTTGACACCTACCATTGTTGTTCTTCTGTTGCCATGGCCCCAGCCGGCAAGTTGCCTGTACGAGCGCCAATGGGGCTTGTTCAGGCCCTTTTTTTTTCACGTCTCTTTCTGCTGTACTCTCGACACCAGGCAGCTTGCGCGTAATGTCCTTCCCCCTCAGGGTGTTGGAATTCGGATCCGATGGGGTGTTAACGGTATGGATGGATGACCCCTATTTGGTAATGTGGTAGACGCAAGCGCGCCTGCGCCATTTGGAGGATCCCTCAAGTCCACGAATGGCACCGTGCGCCTTTGCGGGGCATCCTGGTCATGTTCTCTTAACCTCGTGTTTTTTTTACTATTTTTGTTTCTCTTTTTTGTTCCAGGTTGTGAACCTAACTATCAGGGGACCTCTTACACACTGCGGTGTCTGCTCTCCGTCCCCACACATATTTATAGCAGTTATAGGTCCCTCGCTGAATTATACCCCGTCCACGGACACGAGTATAATTCGTACTCAAGCCTCATACTTGCTGCATTTGCTTCTCAACTGCTCTCAGACGTTGCCCCAATGTCGGTCAATGATGTCCTTAAACATATTCGCAATCCGGACGGTAACTGGGGCACATCCTACCTTGATCCAAATGCGCTCCGCCAGAGGGTGTTGTGTGTTAACTTTTACGCTCACACAAACCTGTTCAACCTGGGAGCAGACGGCCAACCCCCAACTAATCATTGGTCTCTATTCCTTCCGCTTTCAGCGACGAACTCCGTATGCATCGACATGGTCCCCTCAGAACCTGACAAACCGGGAATGATTATGATCGAGTCAAAGGCTCACTCCGTCAGCGACGATAATGTCTTTTTGCTGCAATCGCCGGTCCCCGAGGGGACCACGGTAGCCCAGATCCTAAGCATAATCATCGGTCTCGGTCGCGATCGTTACACCCCCGCAGCTGTAGGGGAAGGATGCCGCTACTGGTTGTCAGTCATTGCGGGCGATATGTATGAGGCTGGCATCTTGCCTAAAGAGATGGTGGACCAAGCCCGCTGGGCCCTGGGACAGTTTTGGAGGCACCCTAAAGGTGCTGGATATGTAGAAAGGGCTATGGCGGAAGGTGACTTCTATTGATGTGCAATTGTGCTCGTCCTCAGTTCGCTTGTTGTAAGTCTATGATCAACTTTTCACAAGTATGTGATGTGATCCGTGTTGGTCACATCCCAATTCTAGCGTCTTGGATGCGATCAGTGCGCTAGGAAGTCATTACCTTCACCAGTCCCTTGAGCTCGAGGTCTCGCCAATGATACGCAATCAAATACAGCATTGACTTTCCCACCATCCTAATTCAAGACTCGTGACCCCACCACCGAGATTAAATGAGGGGCTTATCCTACAAGCAGCCATGCGATAAATCGTCATTATTAGTATCAGAAAAGTAATGATGGCGTGCATACTGTGAAGTCCTCCGCACATGGTTGTGAGTTGGGGGCTCGCTCAAGCCGAAACCTTCGTGATCGATTGCAAACCTCTAACATAGCATGTTGGGCCCGTTGATAAGGTCCAGAGGGTCCCAGGACAATGAACGGCAAAAAGGCCCAATTACAGGGCCATGCGAATGGTTTTCAACTATCCAATTTCGGGCCATAAGTGCTCCAAAGTGTGCCTATGAATGCGCTCCATGATGATTATTGCCCTTGGGAATGGAGTGTCATCGAAGAAAACGAAACGAGCGGGGACTCGGATGCCTGCTGCAAGGCGAAAATTTCGTATGCAGCTGCTCGACCATCCACATACTTAGCAAGGAGATTTTGAGACAATTCCTTTGTGCGCTCCTCCTTCGTTGTAAAGAGGCAAGCCGACTGCTCAACAAATGCAACCATCTCTGCATCAGTGTATAATCCAGCGCATCCTCGTCAAAAGTGAGAATCTACGCCAAAAAAAAAGAGCAAGACAATCGTTTAGAATTTGTTGGAGGGAGAATTGTCAATAGCAAACAACATTATCGTTGTTGCTATGGCTGTCGGAGACAGTAGTCAGTCCTCTGAGCTGTCCATCGGTAGCGACCGGCTCTGGCTATAGAAAGCTTTGCGTACGTCCGGATACAAAATGTGACCAGTACTGATAATAACCAAGCTACCCCTCCGACAGCTATTATTACATCGAAACCAACCACGTAACTGGAAACAAGAGGCTATCTCGCTGGTGCCTCGGGACACAGAGTGACAGAAATCATGTTCACTCGTGGTGGGGAATTTACACAGTGGTAGTGTGCTCGCTTTGCATACAAATGCCTGCGAGAAGTCGAGGGTTCGATCCCCTCATTCTCCAAAAATATGTTTTTGTGGCCGTACTTCGGATCCAAACCTATTGTTCCGGCACCTTTTCGCCCGCAATACCCCGGTCCCGGGCGCTTCACTGTTTGGTTCACCCCCGAATTAGCAGTGGCAATGATTTCGAGACACATGTTGTGGGTACTATTCTAGCATGCGACGCACAATTGTAGGCTGGCCAGATACAGCCTGCAAAGGAAAAATCCACTCCTCCTGTTTTTGAAGGTATCCCTGGGAAGACTTCAGGTTGCCACTGCTTCACGTAATGGCCATTTGATCATGAGGAGACCGGAACAACTATGGCCCATTCGAAGATGAGCAAATGATACCCATAAATATCTGAAAGGAAATTTTGCCCCCGGACAGAAAGTGTCTTGCCTGGGTCTCTCGACCCATGAATGAAGGTACAAGCAGTAGTAGACTTGGCGCGCCTGGGAATTGATCATCCTCCAAACCTTTTGGCATGATAGTGTATTCTCTACAAAAATGAAATGGTACCAGAAACAATACAGCACCAATTCAGTTGGCCTCAAAAACTATGGCCGTTCTGACGCGTGACACCAAAAACTTTTTCCATAAAGGCCCCTGGAAAGCTCTGCATCGCCATGACCAGACACCTGATATTTGAGCCATGAGGAATCGCACGCAAGCCCTTATGAACAGAGTCCTAGCTGGAATCCTCCGACTTCGTCACTATTCGCAGCACCGCTTGATTCATCGTCCACGAATGGATTCCCACTGCTTCCCCCCTTCCGGCTTTGAGTTACCACTGGACGGCGGATTGTCGCCATGAAATTTGTAATAAGCAGACTAACCTTTGTAGTCCTCTCATAGCGGCGATATGATGGTTCCCCCTTATTGTGGCTTCCTAGTTTTTTCCGTCTTCAGGGGGAAGTGGGACGTCCCATGGTTCTTTGAAATCCCGTGGAGCGTGGAGATATAGCCGAGTCGATAAATAAATCTGCAAGGTCCCCACAAGAATGGTGAATTTTCAAGCTGCGAGTGGGTGAAACCGGGTGAATCTGTGGGCAAATTATTGAATGATCTTTGAGTCTCTGGAGACTCCGAATATATTGGAACACAACCAGTCTTAAATTTTATTTGGATAAGAATAGTTCTGGAAGCGTGCTGATCAAACCAGCAGCCTCTAAACACATGTACTTGATGCTGCTTGGACAAGGAAGCACACGGGCAGACTGTCTATGATATCATTGATATGTGGCATTGTATAATCATGATTAGGAAGGGCTCAGTCTATCTCTTATGCTGACATAAGAGATGGTTGGCGATTTGTCATTGCGGCATCTATCCGGAGTTCCATTTCCGTATGCAGTATCTTGCATTCATATTACTGTATCCCGATTGAATGATTGGAGTTTTTTCACGTGGGGGGTCGGTGTAATATAATGAAATCAATCGTGGCTCTTCGGAAGCAACTTCAAGTCGTCAAGTGAACCCTAGATGAGGGGTACGTACCCAAGACGGGACTTTTTGTTACCATAAAAAGCAATATCCCAGACCTGGAATTAGCCGCGGCGACTTTAGGGCTCCTCAAATCTGTTCTGCGCTATTTCAGTACTGCTATTTCTCCAGTCTATGATGCATCAGAATGCAGTGACCTCCATTCTGTATTCGTTACAGGCAGTTTTCTTACATTCTTTATAATGTTTAAGCCCCCTAAATCAGTGAACCCAATACCGCCTAGCATAGAGCTCGCAGGGGTCCTAGGTCATGTTGATCTCAATTCGCGCCGAGACTAATTGGCTCCGCCTACTAAAAATAATTTCTACCCCTGGTTCCGTCTTTTTTCCCCCCCTTGTCCGCGGACGGCTAGGAATACCGAGGACCTAGACTTTTGGTCACTCTCCTGGCCAGTCCCTGCCTTCCACAAGGTTGACAATGACCATTGATACAGGGTCGCGACGAGTGTCCACCTTTCTTGGTCGATGTTGGGAGCTTTCACCGATGATTTTTCAAAATAATTGGGGCTTTCCTTCCTTACCACTCTAGCTCAAGTTTTTTCTCTTCTTTCTTGCCCGGACTTGGTTATAAATCTAGCCGCCACGATCCAAGGAGTTGACCTCGCGGTGCTCACTGACAACAAATCTTCAGGAACTCCATCCCTTCACCTTCCATCACCCCCCCCCCCACTCATTTTCCCCCTTCCTCCGGAAACTTCAGCGTGGAGGCGGTTAAGCCTCTGGGTAGATGCAGAGTTTTTTCAGGTCTGCTGTTTCCAAAAACGGAGTTTCTGCATGAATTTATCAACACCGCCTCTTTCACCACCTCGTTTTCACTGACACAGTCAGGATGACATCGGTCCCAAATGCTTAAACCATTTCACATTGATCAGCGATGTGCCCCCTTCCCTTCAGGATACTGAACAGCCTCACCGTGCCTTTCTTCGTGTTCCTGGCGCTCGGGTATTACCAGATCCAAAACAGTATGTACCGAATGGTCATTAGATATTATGCTCACCGTTTCCCTCATGGTTGTCCTGGAGAGAGGAAAAAAACCTAGCCCCTGTCCGATCTGGTGTCCAATTGAGCACCTTGGCACATCCATGTTATCTACATGCTCGACATGAATAATAGCCGGGGATTACGATTGTAAACCATGTCTCGCGATATGCGAAGGTCTCTGCCTACCTCATCGAATCCCTTGATACCCAGAGTTCAGTGGTCCATTCTGCGGAGCGGAATGCCCACCACCAGCCGGAAGTCTGGGCAGAATATTCCTCGCGCGGCTACGAGGATTCCTCCGCCATTTATCATTCGTCCGGCATCATCGTGAGGTGGATGTCCATTTGTTTTATCGAGTTGTAAGTGCTGCCCTAATCTTTGAACACGTTCTGAGAAACAATTTGGAAAGTTGGAGCCAATTTGGAGAGCGTTTTAGTGCAACCTTCGAAAGCGAGCACGTTGAAGATCGTCATCAATCCACGTAAGTGCGTAGAGTGTTTCCTGGTTCCTCGGGAGTATTGGTGTCCGCAATGCGCAATGCATATTGAGTAATTTACAATGACGAATCCTCACCTGTGCTAATTGGGTAGGTAGGGTCCCAAGATTTCCCGAGCTTTGTGGCGTTCTGTATATGTCCGGTGTTACAGGCGTGTGGGACGCGCTCTTGGACCAGAGGTTATCCTGACACGGTTTCGGGGTTCGGGCGTGGCTTGATCGAACGCGGGCCCCGGGCCCATTCTCTCGATTAATCTCTCGGGTGAGAATGTGCCCAGCTCCCTTGGGCTGTACGACGCGACGAAAGGATTGGGCGCACGCAACCTCCATCTCATTCAGGGAGTGCATCGTCTAGCATATTTTATTTCCAGATCCTTGAGGTCATGCAGCGAAAGTTCTGTACAGCCCCCATCTATGCGGCGGAATTACTAGAATGAAAAATCAGAGGTCGCATGCATTTGCCTACGCACCATCCACAAGGTTGGGCATCTACCTGGAGATATAAGCAATCAGTATCCTCCTTCGACCCGTACTTGCCTTTACACCTGCTCCTTAATACCGACGAGTAGAGGGCCTCCCTGGAATACGGACTACCACAGCCACCAGCCACGACAGCGCCGTGGGTCGTCGGAGAACCTGATGGTCATAAGCAATAGGACCACAGGACATGCCAGGTTAGTCATTCGAATGGCATCAATGGATGGAGCAGATTGATGGATCTCCTCGGCATTAGGAACAGCAGTGGGGGTCCCACAAGACACCGCTTACGCGTACAATTCTGGCATTCAGGAAGGTGATGAGGTGAACGTGACCTCGAGCCTGGCTCCGAAATGAACAGAATGATTTGCGGACTTCAGCACTGTCTCCGCCAGTGGTCATGCAATATATTCAGTACACGCCTCACAGTGGTCACAGATCGGCGCCACATCTGCCTCGGAAAGGAAAACTCGAAGGTGGGCGCCCTGGTCTTAGTTCCTGCCCAAGATCGAGGGAGATCGGAGATTAGGTCCCCTGGACCACAACCCCCCGGAGAGAAACCTAGGCGTCCTAGAACCAAACTCTAGAATGAAGAGTTTGATATCTGCTGTGAAATAGTAGAATCAGCTCTTGGAAGAAGCCTGACAGTGTAATGCCCAAGATCTGCCTCGAACGAATCCCATAATCGACTAGGATGCGCTTCGTATTACCGCAAGTGAGTCGATGGTGGGCAGAAGGACGACTGGGCATACCGCCCAACCAGAGCTGAATACTCTCATTTTCATAGCAAGAGGCCAAGATCTCTCTAGTGAAATGAGGATGGCCGAGAACATGGCCTTCATCCCCGAGAGTCCCGAAGATGCGAGATTAATCCTCTGGGCGCACATGGAAACCGTGCCCAGTACAGTGGGCCCTGGGGGAGTAGTTCCGCAGCGAGAAGAAGACCCTCGTCCAAGCGGTGCGGTAGTGGTCCGCGAGGACGAGGAAAAATTACTGATTGTTTCCTGATCAAGGTAATGCGGCAACCGCCTTCTTGCGGGAACACTCCCATAGTATATGTACTGAATATATGGCGATCCCTCCGATATGGGGAGCGTGGAAAACCCAGCCCCGGCAGAGTTTGAAGTGCCAGCGTGTTGCTATCAGTCTGGCAGGTGAAACGGTTGTCACCTCCCTTGGGAGTGGGAGCTTTGTTCATAAATCCGGAAGGATTCGAATCGCCCGGTTTGGATGTGGGGAGTCTGGATATCGGGAGGAAGAAATGAGGTGCAAAACACGAATGGAGGACAGACAATTGACACGGGAGACATTCGACATAAAAAAGGATTAAACCACTACTCGGGTGCTCGCTTGCAGATTTCAGCTATCGTCTCCGCTCCGCTGATGTCTACCCAATGTGGGGAATCATAGAAAGTAACATGACGTTACAGCGTGCAATCCAAGACACGAGCTACATGCATGTTCTGGTGAAGGCCCATGTAAAGAGAAAGAGTGATATATCAAACAACATCTAATTCAGCAAGGTGCAATATGGTTTGTAAGATGCCCCACTCACAAAATCGCA